ACCTGCAGCCACCTACCACAAATAACGGTAACCCAACCTGATCCTGGCAACCACTGTGTCGCACAGTCTGGTGGACGTTTTGTGCTGCCCATAGATATAGGTTTCAGATCTGAACAAATCATAGCTTTTTATTTTAGTGCTTTCAGGTCGTTGGGAGTCAGTAATTTCTTTCCTATCAGACCTGAGTGTTTGGACCAATATAGTTTGACAGAAGAGATGGGGATACCTAGATCTAATTTAACTACATCTTTGTTACACACTAATTTGGCTGCAATGTCTGTCTCATTATGATGGGTTATATTTGTGTGATGGTATCCATACAAAGGAGATTCGAGACCCTTTGCTCTGTGCAGCGATTAGGTCATTTATAATTGGGAGTATGAGGTTCTTGTTGTCGATCTTCCAGAAGTTTTCGATTGCTTGATTTGCAGACTTTGAATCACAAAATATTATTCCTCCTCCAATGTTTTTTAATGTACTGGTAGCTAGTTGTAATGCTGCTAGTTCTGTTTGTGTGGAGGTCAGCCAGTTGTTTAACGTAACACTGACAGTCTTTGTGCAAATATTATTTCTATAAAACCTACATGCTGCTGCAGTCCGTCCAGTAGCGGATTGGACTGAGCCGTCGGTGTAGACACAGTGCTCGTGAGATCTTAAACTCTCGATGGAGGAGGCAATTGTTTCAAGAGTGACAGCTTTGAGAAGAGCAAGATTCTCATTATCTTTCTTGGTGACAGGTGTGTATGATACTTGAATGGTGGGGTACAGATAAAGAGGAATATCAGAGACTGGTAGATTGCACTTAAAAGGAATGTTGAGTTTAATGAGATTGTAGGCATTTTTGACCAGCCAATTATCATAAAAGGAATGAGTTAGTATTTTCGAGCTTCCTTATGTTTTTTTTTTTTTAATGGGGCTCCAAGATGTGCCAGCATATTCTAAGACTGGCCTCACATAGCCGATATACAGTGATCTAAAAGCCTCCTTATTCAGGTTTCAGAAGGATATTCTGACTTTTGTCAAGAGTAGAGATTGCGGCTGACATTATCCTATTTATATGAGCCTCTGGAGTTAGGTTTGGTGTTATGTCCACTCCCAGATCCTTTTCTCTAGTTATAGGGAAGTAGTTTACCTTCATCATGTATCGGTCTTTTGATCTCTTTCTGTCTTTCCGGACTATTTTGGGCTTTTGTAGGCTCATGATCCCATTTACATCACCTTACACTTGCTGGTGTTGAACTCTAGCAGCCATTTCTTGGACCAGCTCTGCAACCTGTTCAAGTCATCCTGGAGAATCTTATAATCATCATCTGCCTCAATCCTCTTCATTAGTTTTGCATCAACTGCAAATATCGACATATAAGACTCAACTCCTGCAGTCAAGTTGTTTACATAAACTAGGAATAGTATGGGACCCAGCACTGATCCTTGAGGCACCCCGCTTGTTACTCTACGCCAGTCCGACCCCTCGTCCCTCACTGTCACTCTCTGACACCTGCCTGTTAGGTAATTCCTTACCCACGTTAACGCGTTGCCGCCTACTCCCGCCTGCCTCTCAAGTTTGTATAGTAACCTCCTGTGAGGTACTGTATCAAAGGCTTTTTAGCAGTCAAGAAATATGCAGTCTGCCCAGCCTTCTCTGACTTGCCTTATTTTCGTTACCTTATCATAACACTCGAGGTGGTTCGGTAGGCACGATTTTCCTTCTCTAAAGCGATGTTGTTGTTTACTTACATACCCAATTCTTTCTAGGTGTGCAACTAGTCTTAGCCTTATAATTCTTTCGAGTACTTTGCAATGAATGTTTGTGAGTGACACTGGTCTGTAGTTAGGTGTTTCTTCTCTATCTTCTTTCTTGTAGATTGGCAACACATATAGCCTTCTTCCAGCAGCTGGGCAATATTCCCCTTGTAAGGGACTCATTAAATATTGGCGCTAGAGGTATGCTGAGGGCTGGTGCTGCTTCTTTTAACAGCCATGATGCTATTCAACCTGGCCAGTAGCTTTAGCTGCATCTAGTGATGCTAGTTATATTCTTACTTCCTCCACTACTACCTCAATATTAAGAAGTTTCTCTTCAGGGGCTGCTTCCTCATCTAGCTCCGGGAGCTGTTCAGGCTCAGTAGTGAACACTCCATGGAAGCTGGCATTGAACTCCTCACATATTTCTTTATCATTTTCTGTATACTGGCCTCCCCTCTTTTGTAACCGTGTCACTTGGTCATTCACTGTCATTTTTCCATTTTATATGGTTATGTAGGAGTTTCGGTTGGCTCTTTGCTTTGGAGGCAATATCATTTTCTTAGTTTCTTTCGGCCAATGTTCTTATGTTTATGTAGTCATTCCTGGCCCTGTTACATCTACTCCGGTTTACCTCTGTCCTGTGTCTTCTGTATTTCCTCCACTCCCTCCTGTTTTTTTTTATTTTGCCTCCTGTCACTGTCTATTGAACCAATTGAACCACGGGTTAATATATGCTCTACTTTTTCCCCTTAATGGCGGTTTGAATCGCTCTTCTGCCTCTTTGCACCTCAGTGTTACATGGTCCATCATTTCCTGGACCGTCTTCCCTCTGAGGTCATCCTCCCATTGCACACTTCCAAGATACTCTCTTACTTTCATGTAGTCTCCTTTTTTATAGTCTGCTCTCCCTTCCCTGACTCCTTGTCTTATGGGCACTGTTGTGAGGTCCATCATGTAGTGGAACACCAGGACACAATGATCACTTGCTCCTAGTGGTAATTCATACTCTAAATTCTCAATGTCTTCCTCATTCTGGGTGAAGATCAAGTCCAGTAGGCTTGGTGTATCTCCTCCCCTTTCTCTTGTGTCCTCCTTTACATGTTGTGTTAAGAAGTTTCTTTCTGCAACTTCCACTCACCCACGTTTCTTCCCCATCATGAGGATTCCTGGCTTCCCATTCCCATGTCTTCCCATGGCTCTCCATGATTTAGGTCCCCCCCATGACTAGAAGTTTAGCTCTCATTCTGTGTGCCACTGTTGCTGAGCGTGGGCAGGTACTCACCTAGTTGTGCTTACGGGGAGTTGAGCTCTGGCTCTTTGGTCCCCGCCTCTCAACCGTCAATCAACAGGTGTACAGATTCCTGAGCCTACTGGGCTCTAGCATATCTACATACGAAACTGTGTATGGAGTCAACTTCCACCACATCACTGCCTACTGCATACCATCTGTTAACTATTCTGACACTGAAAAAATTCTTTCTAACGTCCCTGTAGCTCATTTGGGTACTCAGTTTCCACCTGTGTCCCCTTGTTCGCGTACCACCTGTGTGACTCAGTTTATCCTTATCTACCCTGTCAATTCCTCTGGGAATTTTGTAGGTAGTGATCATTTCTCCCTTTACTCTTCCGTCTTCTGTCTGCAGGTGTGTGTGTGTGTGTGTGTGTGTGTGTGTGTGTGTGTGTGTGTGTGTGTGTGTGTGTGTGTGTGTGTGTGTGTGTGTGTGTGTGTGTGTGTGTGTGTGTGTGTGTGTGTGTGTGTACTCACCTAGTTGTACTCACCTAGTTGTGCTTGCGGGGGTTGAGCTCTGGCTCTTTGGTCCCGCCTCTCAACTGTCAATCAACAGGTGTACAGGTTCCTGAGCCTATTGGGCTCTATCATATCTACACTTGAAACTGTGTATGGAGTTAGCCTCCACCACATCACTTCCTAATGCATTCCATTTGTCAACCACTCTGACACTAAAAAGTTCTTTCTAATATCTCTGTGGCTCATTTGGGCACTCAGTTTCCACCTGTGTCCCCTAGTGCGTGTGCCCCTTGTGTTAAACAGCCTGTCTTTATCAACCCTGTCAATTCCCTTGAGGATCTTGAATGTAGTGATCATGTCCCCCCTAACTCTTCTGTCTTCCAACGAAGTGAGGTTTAATTCCCGTAGTCTTTCCTCGTAGCTCATACCTCTCAGCTCGGGTACTAGTCTGGTGGCAAACCTTTGAACCTTTTCCATTTTAGTCTTATGCTTGACTAGATATGGACTCCATGCTGGTGCCGCATACTCCAGGATTGGTCTGACATATGTGGTATATAATGTTCTGAAAGATTCCTTACACAAGTTTCTAAAGGCGTGTGTGTGTGTGTGAGAGAGAGAGAGAGTTTTAGATAAAAATATGTAGACACAATATAACAAATATATATCTGTTAGAAAGGCGGGGTCCAAGAACTTATACACACACACCACAAACACATTTCCATATATGTATAATACAATATATGTATATACAACTACAGACGCATACATAGTGCTAGTTAGTAAATAAAATAATCAATATTACAAACCATACACACACACAAACACATTAACAAGCACATGAAAAATATTCACATAAATCCATGTGCGTAATTCAACATTCCCTTTTGCAATTAAATTACATCCAGATGATGGCTGTCATTCGTGCAGGTGTCACCGTTCATAGTGGAGGTGGTGGGGGTGTGGAGGCAGCAAGAGGGGGGGGGGGGTGTGGAAGCAGCAAGGAGGGGGGTGTGGAGGCAGCAAGGAGGGGGGTGTGGAGGCAGCAAGGAGGGGGGGTGTGGAGGCAGCAAGGAGGGGGTGTGGAGGCAGCAAGGGAGAAGGCAGCCACTTTGCGCTCACCAAGCACTTGTAGTTCATGCACAAGACCGGCATGCATGTTTTTATTTTTTATATTTATATATATACAAGAGTTCTTACATTCTTGTACAGCCACTAGCACGCATTGCGTTTCGGGCAAGTCCTTAATCCTAATATTCCCCGGAATACGACCCGCCAAATTATTTAACAATCAGGTACCCATTCAGTGTCGGGTGAACAGAGGCTCCAGTTAAGGATTGGCGCCCGGTCAAACCTCCTCGGGCAGGATTCGAACCAGGCCAAAGCATTTGAGAAGCGTCGGGCGAGTGTTTTACCACTGTACCACGGGGACTGCTAAATATACAGCATAGGCATATACATTTATTTAATCAAAATCAGCCAACATGGTTTACAAAAACAGTCGACCACTCACCACCGATAGCGTAGAGGATGACGAGAATAAATAGCCCAAAGTGACTGAAGATGAAGGTAAAGAGGAGTGAAGAGGCAGACTTCTCCTTCTTGGTGTACAAACCCTCCTCGGCGTACTCGCTGTAGTCAATCATGGCTGTGGTGGATGTCAGAAGCTCGCCGGACTCCTTATAGCGCCTTCTCTATTATATCACGAGTTCCAAAGCTTCTGCATCAAACTCCAGCGTCACCTGAAGGTAAGTGCAGCAACGCGTACGGCCCTTGCAGCCAGTCACCTCACACTGACGCACTAACAAGGGGCAGGAGGGTGGGCGGGTGATGGTTTGTTGATGGTAACCCTCCTCGCTCCGCAGACCTCATAGTGACGTGGGTGGGGCGAGGAGGGGGTGTCGAGGCTTGCCTTATAAACCTCGGCTATTGATTTGTTCAACATTCTGTCAAGAATCCACGGGCAATAATGTTAAATTTTTAGATATGCTGAGACGATGTTCAGTAATTCTCAGGGCAGCAGAAGCCTCGATACCAGCTAAGTGTTACGTCATTATGACAAAATGAAGCCTATTTAATCTCGCTAGTATACTGTACTCACTTAGTTGTGCTTCACACGCATACGTCATTGAAGATTACGCTATTATATCCTAGTTATATTTTGCACATATCCCTTTTCTTTAAGAATTCATAACTATGTGATAAAAAAATCTCATTATATTGTAGATGATTCTCTATCATTCTTAATTGAACTCAACTCCTTAAGATAATTAATTGTAACATCGGAAGGTAAACAAAGATACAATAGCATTATTAATGGCGGTAACAGGCCAGTTCATTTTGATTAATTCTCAACCTGGATTCCATCTCATGTTGGCCTCTCGCGCAATTGACATACTGTCCCGTTTTCAATTTTGGGTCCTCTGGTAGGTTAATATAAGGCACTTTAGTACGACAGTTTCTTGACGTTGGTAAACCTTAGGAGGACGGGCTAAATGTGCAACTCCCCAACGTGAGGAGCTCCCAGCCTAGCTCATCTTCTACAACGGTATAATGATGATACTGTAGCTTGTGTAGACTTCACTTTGTCTCAGATCTACAAAGTTTTGTTTGTGTTCATGCTGTATTATTGTTCTCTGGCTTCGTATAGGCAATTGAGTGTTATAGTTATCGTCTTTGAAGGCATATTCTTTTTTATATTCATAAGGCAGGTTTTTTCACGTATTCTGGCTGGTTCTCCCGGCGGGGTGACGGTGTCCGGCGCCAGCTTGGCCGAGAGGTGCCAGGAGTTTTTTCTTTTTACATGCAAGCATGCAAGTTAAAGACAATAAGTACAATAAAACAACATAACACAGCATACATCAAGACAAGAACATAACACAAAATAGAAAACAAGCAATTATAGCAAGCAAATAATGACAAGAAAACAAAACATAGTAACATATGAAACAAAGCAGACAGAAGCACCGGCCGGAAGGGCCGACAACAAAGCACAACATGAAACATAACACAAGAAAAGCATAACAATACAACATGCAAGGCAGAAAATAACACACAGGGCATAGTAACAACACAGAACAAAAACAATAACCCAGTAGGGCAAGCAAACAGCCAGAGGGGCAAGCAAACAGCCAGAGGGGCAAGCAAACAGCCAGAGGGGCAAGCAAACAGCCAGAGGGGCAAGCAAACAGCCAGAGGGGCAAGCAAACAGCCAGAGGGGCAAGCAAACAGCCAGAGGGGCAAGCAAACAGCCAGAGGGGCAAGCAAACAGCCAGAGGGGCATACAACACTACATAAAGCACATAAACAGGAAATCAGTGGACATACTTTCCCGGAAAACAGGCCCGCGGGAACCGCACATCAAATGCTTTCCAGAGCAACCACCGTCAAGGGTTTCGGCCAACCACCGGGGAAGCCATAACATCTGGAGCCCTGGCAACAAACACCCGCAAACATGGGACCCAGATGGTAGTACTGATGAGGCGAGTAGCCACTACTCGTCCCCACACACAGGGAACCTGCCCTCCATGAAAGTTCTCCGGTTCGTCAGACAACATCAACTCGGCAATCGCTGACCAGTGACCTGATGGCATCACAGACGCTGGCAACACGTCCCCTAGTTTCCCAACGCGCATCCTTCCATAATGTCACTACTAGGCCACGCCCAGCACCAGTATCCACACCATCCCTGGCAGCGGAAGCCACCACCCCCCACTGCGGAGAGTCCCCTGGCGGAGAAAGAACCAAAGGCACCAGCAACAGCAGGCACATGGACCTCCGTCACTACTAACTGCGAAGACAGCGACGTATCCGGATCCACACCGTCAACACCCGAAGACCCACAATCACTGAAATCCCCAACATTGGCCCAGGCAGAAGATAAACGCCGGGAACGTTTGGGCTCCGGCCGGATATCGTCAGAGCCTGAAGCGGACCCAGAAACACGGGTACCACTAGCCGGACGAACCGACGCCCGACGCCCGACGCAGAACGGCAGCAGCCTCTACTACAGGAGAAACCAGGCCACACACAGCAGGAGGCTGTGTGTGGCAGCACAGCCGGAACCCGAGGCGCGGACACAGGGCCAGACGCAGCAGCAGACGAGGGAGAAGACGGCGATGCCTCACAGTGAGCACCAGGAAAGCCCACGGGAGCAGCGGGGACAGTAACAGAAGCAGGGAGATCATCCGGTACAGCAATACCCGGAGGAGCGACAGCAACAACCGGAGGCATGTCGAGCGACGCAGGGGGAGCTGCAGCAGCTAATGGGACGGCCACCTCCTCATCCCCGGAGTCCACCTTCAGAGGGAGCGGCGGGAAATCCCCTTCCTGGAACAAGTTTACAGGAGCAGCTGCGGCCTCAGAGCACCCGGCAGCCTTATGCCCCAACAGGCCACACCGGAAACAGGTACGGGGCTGCCGGGCATAATACACCCGGACGTAGTAACCCATCAGCTGGACAGAAGACGGCATATCCGACCGCAGGCGCATTCCCAAGGTACGAATGTTCGTCCGCCTTCCAGCATACCTCCCCGAGGAGAGCGTGTTCACACGCACGCTGACAACAGCACCATACCTCCCGAAGTAACGCCGGAGGAGGTCTTCAGGGAACTCCATGGGCGCCCCATGGACACTGACATAAGTCAGGGCACCACTACGATCCGAAATCGCCACAGAGCCGGCTTCACCCAGCAACGGCAACGTACGCCCCTCGTACCGACGGAGGAAGTCCCGGTACTCCTCCTCCCTCACGAACTTGAGAACAACCCGGTGAGCTGTAACAAGCTCAACACCGTAGATGGCCTCCACCGGGATACGAAGCATGTCACACATAACCATCTCGATGTCTGGATATCCAACTTTACTAGTGAACTCCAGGCCCACGGAGTTCACATGCACAACAGGGGGAAGATGGCCTCCCATGTCAGAACCGCCACGTCAACACGCAGCCAGGCAGCAACAAACTGGGAGGGCAGAGATGCTCACACCACCTGGCGACCAAAATGGCAAACAACCCCAACAAACAGGGAGGGTCGGCAAGACGTCCTCACTCCACGGCTGCCAGGGCCGGCAGGTGCCGGGAGTTGGTTGGTCTTGGTGGGCTCCTGGTGTGCCCTCAGCCGTAGTGGGGGGGCCAGCTTCTGCTCTGCCGAAGGGCACTGGATGACTTTTGCGCTTTAGTTGGGGGCCGCTTTTTGGTTTTGCTACCCAGTGTTCTCGGTGTGGGGCGGGGCCGGTACTTGTCACCCTGAGGGACTCCCAGGGCTCCCCAATCATCTGCCTGTCTGCGTTTCTTTGCCGCGAGGCATATTAGTTTCCAGTGATTGGCGTCACTCGTTGCGCGATTAGGCTTGGCGTTTCACCCTTTCCGGGCTTTGCAATTAACCCTTCACGGTACGCCGGAGCGCATCCGATCCCACGATCGTCGTCGCCCCTAAATCAATAACAACAACTATTTACCTTGCTTCTTACACTGAAATGTGCACAAGTCTCCAAACTTGATACATTAATTCTAAGTGACTCTTTATCATTTTTAATTGCTCTCAACTCTTTAAGACATAACTGTAACATGCTTGTGTCTGAAGCTAGACACAAATACAACAAAATTATTAATGATGGTAACAGAGTCCGTTTCGCATGGATTCCAACTCATGTTGGCCTCCGAATGCATGATAAAGCTGATGAGTTAGCCAAAGAACCTCCTTACCTTGAGGTTTCCTTGAGGTGCTTCCGGGGCTTAGCGTTCCCGCGGCCCGGTCGTCGACTAGGCCTCCTGGTTGCTGGACTGATCAACCAGGCTGTTGGACACGGCTGCTCGCAGCCTGACGTATGAGTCACAGCCTGGTTGATCAGGTATCCTTTGGAGGTGCTTATCCAGTTCTCTCTTGAACACTCTGAGGGGATTGCCAGTTATGCCCCTTATGTGTAGTGGAAGCGTGTTTAACCTTACCTCCCTTTAAACTCTTTTACCATGTCGTAGTTCAGTCGATTAAGGCAGTGTCTGGGACATTCTCGGACGCAGGTTCGAATCCTCGTCACGGCCCATGTGGATTTGTTCATTTGATGCATCACGTTATTATGATATTTGTGTGTAAAGAAGTAAGGGCAAAGAGGGAGAACGGCCTATTGACATAGCTCAGGTGCAGGGGGGAGTTGTGTAAAAATCCTGGTTTGTGCCTCGGAGAGATTGCAGGATCCAGTAAGTTCAGCAGAACTTCGGTTTCAACTCTTTTAACCCTGTTGTAGCTCAGTCGATTAAGGCAGTGTCTGGGATGCTCCCGGACGCAAGTTCGAATCCTCATACGGCCCTTGTGGATTTGTTCACGCATTCATCAATTTTAACATTCTGTTCATTCGAAGCTGTCATGCGTAAACTTCATCTTCATAGTTTTTCACTTTTTGCCTAAAAATTGCACTGTATCTATTGCTACCCAATCTCCCAACCTTTATGTTCCCAATTTGAACATCTTTACCATTGTGATCATTGCTGTCTTCTTATATGTGCTGCCAATCTGCTGTATGGTGTTTATAAATCTTGTTTATCTGTATCTTTTGCTACCCAGTCTCCCAATCTTTATGTACCCAATCTGAACATCTTTACCATTGTGATCATTGCTGTCTTATATGTGCTGTCAATCTGCTGTATGGTGTCTATTAATCTTGTCTAAATTACTAATCAAGCTGTCAATGTAATCAATCAGAGCTTTAATATAACAATATGCTTTAATATACTTACTTATCTCTCTCATCTCATTTTTCTCTTGCAATGTATCTTTATCATTTATCA